AAAAATTTCACATTAATGATAATCTATACAATTTAAAAATAAATCTCTTTTCTTGAGTGGTTCAATTTGTGGTGAAAAAATATAACGAAGGTTCTGAAATATGTGATCTCATAGAAGTAGAGAGTAGATTGGTGGTTTTCAGAGGCTGGAAAGGGCAGGGGGTGGGGGAATAGTGAGAAGTTGATTAACGGATAAATGTTTGAGGTGATGAGAAAAAAAAAATCAGTGATTGTCAGGGTATCAGGGGAGGAGGAAGGGAAAGATGGAGAGATGAATAGGTGGATCACAGAAGATTTTTAGGGTAGTGAAAACTATTCTATATGATATCGTAATGATGAATAAATGACATTATATATTTGACAAAACCCATAGAACTGTGAAACACAAAAAGGGAACCCTAATGTTAAACTGAGTTAATAATAATATATCAATAGTGGTTAATAGTTGTAACAAATAAATGTAGCACACTGATGTAATGTGTCAATAACAGGAGAAACTGCACGTGGAGGGGGGAGGAGGATGTGACCTGTCTGTACTTTGTGCTCAATTTCTCTGTAAACCCAAAGCTGCTATAAAAATAAAGTCTATTACTTAAAAAAAATTTCACATTAATAATAATCAGTACAATTTAAAATACATCTCTTTTCTTGAGAGTAATTAAATTTGTAAAATGAAAAAAATATAATGATGGTTCTGAGATGAGTTAGAAGTTACAATTTTGCATTAAGAAAAAGAAGAGGTGAGACTCAGTCAAAGACTGTTCAATCAACTCACTGCACATTAGCTATGCTAAGCATCAATCTGGAGCTTGCACAAATCTGATCTGATCGAAATGGAAACCAGGGGTTACAGAGGTCAGACAATGATAAATGCCCGAGAACATAAATAATAAACACAAGCCTCCAGCTTTCATAAGCCAACATCCTGAAATGTAAAACCCACTTAGATTCAACCAAGGGAAAGATATAACCTTGGAACCAAAGCAACTGTACTCTGATGGCACATGTCACCACTCATTACTAACAAGCAATCAAACAAAGCACATGTCAGATCACACTGAAACACACCAGGCTGCTGCTGCTCCATAACCAAAAAGAAAAAAGGGCACAAGAATTTGCCAATGAACACACTATCCCAGTTTTAAGATCTACATCCAGAATACTGGTCAAGGGGTGACAATATTCTAGAGATAGGCTCTAAAATTGAGATACCATTCATTCATTCATTCATTCATTTAACATTGACCCACCATACCCTGGGGAGTGTGGAAACACAAAGATGAATGAGAACTGTCCCTAACCTTGAGGCACTCACAGTCTAGCAGGAGACACACAGACACATAATTACAGTATAATGTGGTGAGATAATAATAATGTATATAAGATGAGTACATTTGAGACAATACAGTTAGTCCAAAGAAAATTAAATGTGCAGAATGAGTGTAAGAAGGCTTCACTGAAACAGTGTGTTCACAAAAAAAACTTTCTTAAAATACATAAAATGGAGAAGAACAGAGCCTTAAATTTTGATGAAACACCCATCTATGAGCTCAACTGCTCTTAAAGTAAATGGGTCCATTTTTAAGTGACAACATAGAATGTAATACTCCAAGTCCTTTACAACTGAGTACTGTATAGAAATCAATGCTGCCCAACAGCTAACAAATATTAAGCTAAGAAATCAATATCCATGGAGGACTTCCAGAAAGAGAAGTAATCCATTCAGCCTTTTCACTTGCCCAGGGTGAGGGGAAAGAGAGGAGCACAGAGTCGAGCACTGTGCAGTATGGTGCTGGGCCTCCAGAGAACAGCTGTTCTGGACTGCACCTTGGCGTGAAGCTGTCTTGCCTACATAGATGGACGTGAGGAGAAACAGCCCTCTCTCTCATTTTCTCTCAACATTCACCCTATTCATTCTCCAGGAAAATCTCTCCATCAACTTCCAGCCCCCCCATTTCAAATTTATATCCTGTAGCTTGTATATGCTCATAAACTAGATTAGATTCTATTTTGAGGGAAAATAACAATTAACCAAGACAGACGCTGCTCTCTCATCCTGATTTTGTACAGTCTGCTTCCTAACACAGGAGAGAGTTAACGTACTGCATCCCAAGCACCCAAGCACTAAGGAGTCATGATGAAAGTCCTCCCTGGGTCTGACCTTTTGCCAGAGTGTAAGAGACAAGCAGCGAGGTAGCCTGACTGCTACAGTCCTGTCATTCATAATGGCAGCATTGATGTAATCTGGACAGAAATGACAGAGCCTTCTTACTCTCTGATAGTCTAGGCTAAATGCCCTGGGCTTCTTTCATCTACCTTGGCTGGTAATGTCTCAATTTCATCAACTTCCCAGGTAACAGTCTCAGAATTAGATTTTAAAACTCTAATACTGTCCAGTAAATCAATATCCTAACCTTCGAAGGATATATATTAAATTCAGGGTCCAACTTTTCATTTGCCAGCTGTTCTTTGGAGTCTCCTAGAGCTGCAATAGTAGGATAAATCCTCAAAAACTTTGAATAAAGAAAGGATGGTACAATAGAACAGAAACTTTGCTGAATTTTATTTCACACTGGGTATAATGCTGATATTCCTTTGCAGAATTTAAGAATGCTACATTGATGTGTAATAATGTTTGCTATAGGCCAAAGAAAAGGTCTTAAAAGCACACATAATTTTCGTCAATATAGCAAAACAATCTCTTGATCTAAGGGAGTAAAAAAAAGAGGTGGCTATCAGAGACAATGGAGCCACAAATATCTCAAAAATAACACAAGGCAATTCTTGGGGAGTCCCAGGACTCAACATAATTCGCACATATGGTCCAAGAACTCCAGGACTGTGGTGACAGCTATTTGTGCTTTTGCCACTGCTCCTGCAAACACATCTCAGACCCTCTAAGCAACATTAACAGGATGTAGTATTAATTTGCTCCTTGGGATGAATCACTGAAGCCCTAGGACATCAGGTAAAACCACCATAACAGAGCTGTCTCACAGTAGTGACAAAAAAAAGACCTGTCTTTGGAGTCATCCACAGTGAGGGAAGGTAATCATAGCTGGACTCCATTTTCCAGCAAAAGTGGATTTCAGTGAATCAGTATGGACATTCTGTCTCCTCATGAGGTATTACTGGCCCCAAGGAATATAGCTCTCAGTTCTCACCCATGGACCCTGGCACCACTCTAAGGGCTGTAGAAATAATAATAATAACAGCTAACATTTATTAAATTCTTACCATATGCTAGGCACTGTTAAAGACTTTACATGTATTTACCCATTTAATCCTCTTAAGAACTCTATAAAGTGAGAACTGCTCTAACTACTATTTTACAAACAAGGTAACTGAAACACTGAGTAGTTAAACAACCTGCCCCAAAGTATGAACAGCAGCTCCAAGTAACTGAATCCCTTCCATCTTATGCTTGGGCCAAGCCACTCTCCAGAGCACTGTCTGAATAATAATGCATAATTTATATTTCAAAATTCTTACTCTGGACTACAATCTCCTTTCTCCTCAGCTCACTCCCTCTAATATTTTGACTCCACCAGGACACCTGATTGAGTGATCCTTCTATCTTTCCATTGTCCTTCCCCACTGCCCCCACTCATGCCCTCATCTCCCTTGCTATCCATTACCATCACTCACTTGCAAGTGTTCTCAATCCCCTTGTGCATCCTTCTCTCCACAATATACACTGGAAAAAACCAGCCTGCCTTCTCCACACCAGCAGCAAAAGAGCTGTGCGCAACCATGGGTGGGCTCACTATAAATGCATTACCAATAACCGAAGGGAACCCTCACTGCCACCAGAATCCTGCTACATTTTATTCTCTCACTCTCCTGGATAACTCCTTGACACTTTCTCCTCCATCCTTAAACCTCCGACATCTTCTCTACCTTCCTGATTCTCAGCCATAGATCTTGATTGTTTCACTGAGAAAACTAACATGACAGAAGAGAGAACATGGCTGCACATTCTGGTCCCATCCACTAACCTGCCTGCATCTGTGCTGTGTCCTTCCCTCTCTCCTATTACTGTGGAGGAACTGTCCATGCTCCACTTAATCCCTCCCCTTCTCATCTATTCAGGAACACGGTTCCAGAAACTTTCTGCTCTCTTTCCCATACCATCAAAGTTTCCCTTTCTACAGAATTATTCCTGGCAGAATGTATGTCTTTATTTTTCCCATCTTAAAAAAAGCAAAAAACAAACAAAAGAAATCATTTTGGCGCCCATATCTGCCCATTTCACTTCTGTGCTTTAAAATAAATCTCTGGAGGAAAAAAAGTTGTTCTATACTCTCATCCCCTGTTGAACCCACATTAGTACTTACTGCAATGACCTCCATGTTGTTACATCTAATGATAGATGCAGAGGCTTCACCCACTTTCTTGAAATACTTCTGCCACATGCTTCTGTGACATTCCTTCTCCTTTGCTTCTCCTCCTCCCTCACTGGCCACACCTTCACAATCTTCTTTGCTGGATGCCCATTATCTGCCTACCAAGGAAAGGCCAGATTACCCAAGCTCATGCCTCACATCAAGGTGCATGGCTTTAAATGCTTCTGTGTACCACTAACTCCCAAATTTATAGTCAGAATTCTCTGCTAAATCCAACTGCTTACTTGACATCCCCATTTAGATGTCTATTAGAATCTCAAACTTTATATGTTCAAAGGGGAGCTGCTGATTCCACTCCCTCCAAAAAAACAAAAAAACCCTGTTCTCCTGCAGCCTTCACCAACTCAGAAAATGGTATGGTATTTTTCCACTGGCTCTGGTCACACCTCTTTATCTTCCACCCCTTCTAATCATCTGCAAATCCTGTTGGTTCTGTGTTCAAAATATAAACAGAATCTGACAAATTTTCACCATTCCCAGGTCCAAATAGCCATCACCTTCACCTAAATTTCTGCAGCAATTCCTTTAGTGGTATCCCTGTGTCTGCCCTTGCAGTTAGAGAAATTCTTTTAAAACATGGGTCAGATCAGTTTACTCTTCTGTTCAATATCCTCCAGTAGTTTCCCTTTGTACTCAAAGTAAAAGACAAAGTCTTTATGATGGCCTACAAGGCCCTCCATGATCTGGCCCCACTCCCTTCACTTTCCACTATGTGTTTTGGGGATAAGGCAACAGGAAAGATGTTAAGGAGAGTAATTGTGGGAGCTGGAGGGCCCTCAGAGACTGTCTGCAAGGGCCTAAAGGAAGGCAAGAAGAAAGCTGCTGGAAGTAGGAATAGGACCTCATTACATAGAAGCAGAAAGTTTAGCAATGCAGTTGCCTGTGGCAACATGGAAATTAAAAAATGTACCTAATGAACTGGATGATCCAGATAAGGAGATTTCCAGGTAAACTGTTGAAAGAGCTGATTGGCTTCATTTTGCTGCCTATAATGAAATGCAAGAGGAGAGAGATAAGCTTAAAAAAAAAAAAGAACTGTTAAAATACAAAGGAGCCAGGACGTACTGACTTGAAATTAAAACTTTTTCATTCCTAGTCTTATCAGAAGACAAACAGTGCTACAATTTAAAAATGGCTTCTGGACAAAGATTGAATCCAGCACGCTCAGGAAAACATGACGTAACTGTAAAACCCTTTATTAGGCCCTCTAAAAAATTTAATATGAGGCCTCATAGACCTTTTCAAAAAATTTTAAGGGCATTATTACCCAAGAGCCTTATAGAGAATCTAAAGTATAGAAGAGCTTATTTCAAAATAATTTGTGAGTGTTGCTTTTGTCTAATGAAGTTGATTAGAAGTTGATTCATAAGAAATCCACAAAGTTTTTTTTGTTTTTTGTTTTTTTTTTTAAAAGATGACCGGTAAGGGGATCTTAACCCTTGACTTGGTGTTGTCAGCACCACGCTCAGCCAGTGAGCGAACCGGCCATCCCTATATGGGATCCGAACCCGGGGCCTTGGTGTTATCAGCACCGCACTCTACCGAGTGAGCCACGGGCCGGCCCAATCCACAAAGTTTTATAAAGGAATTACGCCAGCTTGGGGTGAAAGGGACAGAAACTACAAACTGAAAAGAGGCCTTTGGACTCCCAGTCTTTATTAGGCAAAAATCAGGCTAAGAACACAATCTTGCAAACACACACTATGTTTATGGAAAGAGGGAAAACCCAGAGAACGGAACCAAAAGCCCAGAAGACAGGGCCAACCATCACAGTGGACAACTCCCAGGCAGTAAGACCAATTCCTAATCAAAGCAATGGCTACATGTGCCTGGCTAAATTTCAAAACTATTTTGGACTAGGAATTGCTGTGTGCCTGTTTTCCACCTTTCTAAGTGGAAGCATTTACATCAGTTATCCTATGCATGTCCCACCCCTAAATGTTGAGTAAGGTGGGGTGGGGAGTATATATCTTTCCCATCATCTTAATTCACAGGTCTTCAGATCAAAAGGAACTGAACTCAAGGAGGTGAACTTGAAGAAAAATACTCAAAGAGTCTGACTCGATGAGATTCTAGACCTTAAACTTGAGTCCAATGTTATAATCAGTGAGAATTTGGAGAGGCCTTAGGTGGGGTGAGTACATTTTACATTCAGGAAGAACAAATAATTTTTGGCCAGAGGATAGGCTCTCACGTTTTAAAACATGTCTTCGGGCTGGCCTGATAGATCAGTTGGTTAGAGCACAGCCTTGTAACAGCAAGGTCAAGGCTTCAGTTCCCCTTGCTGGCCAGATGACCCCACAAAAAATGTCTTCAAATAAGTTGACACTGTACCTATTCAAAAGATGTAATATTTCTTCCTTTTAAACATGGGTTGGCCTTCTCCCCACTTCAAGTCAACAGAATGCAGCAGAAGTAACACTGCCTGACTTCTTGGTCATAAAAAAATGATACAGCTTTTGCCCATCCTTCCCTCTCTTCCTCTGGAATACTGCGCTTGAAACCCAGCTATTGGAATGTTGCTTGCTGTAAGGAAGCCAAGGAACAGCATGGAAAGTCCACATGTAGGTGTTCCACCCCTGGCCCCACCTAGTGCCAACATCAACCACCAGACACATGAATGAGATTTCAGATGACTCCAGCCTTCAAACTTCTCCAGCTGGAACTAAGTGGAGCAGAGGTAAACTGCCCCTGCCAAGCCCTGCCCAAGTCACACATCCATGAGCAAAATGTTTGCTGCCATTATTGAAAGTCCATAAGTTTTGAGATGGCTTTTTATACAGCAATGAATAACAGGAACACTTCTCAACTCATCAAGATCTCTCTACCTCCTTTCTTTTATTCAGCACACTTGCTATTCCTCCTATGTCTAGTCATGTGTGAACTTGATGAGCATGCCCTCTATATGTCTTCATCCCAGGTACTGGTATAGACACTGTAAGCCCTGGAGCATACCTAGGAACCTCCCTCTTTGTTGATATCATTCAAAAATCAGTTCGCTCTGCAGAGAGTAATTAACCAAACTAATTATTTTTCAAAACAAATATAATTTTTCCATTTAGTCTACAAAGATATTACATAAACTTTTCTGTACTGTGTCTCTTTCTGACCTCCAAATAAAGTAGTCAGACATGATTTGTTTTTTGTTGTTGTTGTTAATGGACCATACTGCATCTTAGGGACCCACTATTTTATCTCCCTGGAGCCCACAAGATCATTCCTTTAAAAAGCTGTGCCTATCTCTATGGGGCTGCCCTACAATTGCATCTAATGGACTGTTTCAAAGCTCTTAGAGCCAAAGCATATAATAACCATATAATAACGTTTAAATTTCTTCCTAAAACAAAAAATAAACATAGTTTAAGGGACGACAGACTGTATGAGAAAACTGCTGAATCCTGTGAGTGGACTATGAGATAACTGATTTGGGCTGCTCAAGAAACTTCAGTTGTTGTTTAGTAAGTTTCGTCTACATTTTGGATTAGTGAAGTTGCTACACATTTCTAAAATTTGGACAAGTGAGGCATCACCATATAGATTATGAGATCTTTTCATCTTGAAATAAAATCCTAAATCTAACATGTCTTAAAACTGTAGTATTTAAAGTACATAGGCAGTTCAGTTAGGGTTTGTATAAACTCAGTCCTGGTAGCTGAATGTAAATGTAGTTTTAGCTAATCATATTCTTTGGCACAAAGGACCCAAGCCAACCCAAGGGGTTAGGCATTAAGTAGGGCCTAGACCTCATGCTCAGCACCACTACCTACAGTTGTGTGAAGCTCTAGAGTGCCCAAAATACACAGTTAGCACAGCTGCACATGGCAGCCTTGCCCTTTTTCTTCTGCATTTAAAGCCTGTTTCTCCCTAGATGACCTTATCTAGTCTTTTTTAAAATTTATTTTAATTAGCATATTCATTATTACAAATAGTTATTATTCTTTATGCCCTTTACCCAATCACTCCCCAACCTCCCCCACTTTCCCCACCATCTCTAGCATCCTTAGGTTTGTTCTCTCCTTCTGAATGTTCAACGTTATTATTGTGGTCTTTTCTTTCTTTCTTTCCTTCCTTTCCTTCCTTCTTAGCACCCAGTTATGAGTGAGGAAATGCTGTATTTCTCTTTCTGTGTCTCGCTTATTTCACTTAACATAATTTTTTCTAGGCTCAGTAATGTTGCAAATGGCAGGATTTCATTCTTCTTTATGGCTGAGTAGTATTCCGTTGTGTATATATACCAATTTTCATTATCCAGTCATCTGTTGATGGGTATTTAGGTTGGTTCCATATTTTGGCTACTGGAAATAGAACTGTGATGAATATGGGAGTACAGGTACTCCTTTGACATGATGATTTCCATTCCTTTGAATATATACTCACTAGTGGGATGGCTGGATCATATGGTAGTTCTATCTGTAGTTGTTTGAGAAACCTCCATACTGTTTTCCATAATGGCTGTACTAATTTACAGTCCCATCAACAGTGTAGAAGAGTTCCCCACTCCCCATATCCTCACCAGCATTTGTTATTGTCAGTCTTTTAAATTATGGCCAGTCTAACTGGAGTGAGATGATATCTCAATGTGGTTTTGATTTCCCTGATGATTAATGATGCTGGGCATTTTTTCATTATCTATGGCCATTTGTATGTCTTCCTTCAAAAATTGTCTATTTATCTCCTTTGTCCATTTTTTAATTGGATTATTTGGGGGTTTTACTGTTAAGTTGTTTGAGTTCCTCATATATTCTGGATGTTACTCCCTTGTCGGTTGTATAGTTTGCAAATATTTTCTCCCATTCCAGAGGTTGTCTTTCTGCTCTGTTGATTGTTTCTTTTTCTGTGCAGAACCTTTTCAGTTTGATATAATCTCATTTGTTTATTTTTTCTTTTGTTGCTTGTTCTTTTGGGGTCTCATTCATTCATAAAATCTTTGCCCAGTCCTCCTTCCTGTAATGTTTGCCCTAAGTTTTCTTTTAGTGATTTTATGGGTTTGAGTTTTGTATTTAAGTCTTTAATCCACTTTGAGTTAATTTTGGTATATGGTGAGAGGTACACGTCCAGTTTCATTCTTCTGCACATGGATGTCCAATTTTCCCAGCACCATTTATTGAAGAGGCAGTCTTTTCCCCAGTGTATGTTCTTGTTGCCTTTGTCAAAGATCAGTTGGCTGTAAATATGTGGGTTGATTTCCAGGTGTTCTATTCTATTCCATTGGTCTGGGTGTCTGTTTTTATGCCAGTATCATGCTGTTTTGGTTACAATAGCTTTGTAACATAATATGAAATTGGGTAGTGGTATCTCTCCAGCTTTTTTTTTTTTTTTTTGCTCAGGATTGCTTTAGCTATTTGGGGTCTTTTGTTGTTCTACGTGAATGTTAGGATTGTTTTTTCTATTTCTGTGAAGAATGTCATTGGCATTTTGATGGGGATTGCATTTAATCTGTAGATTGCTTTGGGTAGTATAACTATTTTCATAATGTTAATTCTTCCAAAGCAAGAGCATGGTATGTCTTTCCACCTTTTTGTGTCCTCTTTAATTTCTTTCAGAAGTGTTTCATAGTTCTCACTGTAGAGGTCTTTCACCTGCTTGGTTAAACTGATTTCTAGGTATTTTATTTTTTTGGTGACTATTGTAAATGAGCTTGGTTTCTTGATTTCTCTGCTAGTTCATTTTTGGAGTACAAAAACACTCATTTTGAGGTGTTGATTTTGTATCCTGCAACATTACTGAAATTGTTAATCAGCTCTAAGAATTTTTTGGTAGAGTCTTTAGGTTTTTGTATATATAAGATCATATCGTCTGCAAACAGGGACAGTTTGACTTCATCCTTTCCAATTTGGATGCCCTTTATTTCCTTCTGTTGCCTGATTTCTCTGGCTAGCACTTCCAACATTATGTTAAGTAGGAGTGGTGAGAGTGGGCATCCTTGTATGGTTCCTGTTCTTCAGGGGAAAGCTTTTCAGCTTTTACCCATTCAGGATGATATTGG